TTCTTCCGCGAGGCAGCAGGGGCTCGCCGTAATCGCGCGAACATGTCCTGCCATCGCTGGCGCCCCGCCCCCCCCCCCCCCCCAATCTGTCACAGTAGTCCGTGATGGGGCCTGCCGGCGTGGCTGCGCTCAACGAGCCGATCCGCTCCCGCAGTGTACGTGCATTGCTGCTCCCAGTCCAGCTGCAGGCCAACGAGCTTCCTGAATCTGCGGATAAGGGTGCTCACGGTACTCGAGTTTACAGAGATCGGATATTCGACATGAGCTCTTCCAAGCGTCGAATTGGAAGACCTCCAGTCCAAGGCAAACCCATTGCGTCTGCTTCTACACGCCCACTTGTCTTCCTCCTCTTGATTCAGGGTAGCTCCTTCCAGCGCTGTGCCCCGCGGACCGTGCTCCATGTCAATGGGCTTCTGGGCGTCGGCGTGCGGTGACATGAGTAACTGGGGCTGGAGCCATTAAACATCGAATCCTTCTGTAATCGTGATATTCTTCGCGGCCTGCCATCCAATCTGCCGGCCCTCCTCTGGATTGTGAAATTTATCATGCCCTTCTACCTTGTCGTCCTCCACGTGCTCCAACATCTCGACCGTGGGGTCCTGTTCCACTGCTCCTGCTGCTTCCTTTTCGATCTCCCGCTGCGGCTGGCGGCTGGAACTTTGGGCTCGCGATAGCTTGGCAAACTGGGGGCCGGGGTAAAGGATTGATGCCGCCGCTTTCGCTGCGCGCCTTGGAGCCGAACCTCTATGCCGCAATGCGTGGCCCACGGTGCATCCGTGAATGCATGGAGCGACGCGCGTGACTCAAATCCTCTCTTGCCCGTATCATAATCATATCGCCCACCTTTTGCATCTATGTCGCGCGTGATAGCCGCGCCTGGGATCAAAATCTCGCCATCCATCTTGACCGGCCACTCTGATTCACTCAATGTTTGGCGACATATTCCAATCCGCCACCGCGCTCCATGGGTCAGTGACCATGCGTAGAAATCCTGCCAGCGCCTTCGTTGCGTCATCATTCTTCCTCGCGGTGCCCATGCCGGGGAGGCAGTGGGCGGATAGAGGCAGGACATTACCTGGCTGCATGTGCCGTGCGAGCGGCGCAGCCCCACGGAAAAGGGTCCTTCTTGCCAACTTCCCGACTGGCCTTCCTGACTGCTTCCAGGGCGGCAGTCGCTGCATGGGATCTCGCTAAGGCCCATTCTCCAGCCCAATCGCCCGCGAACTTGGGGAATGCTGGTGTGGCAGACAACTTCCACCCATCTTTGCGCAATACTTCTTCGTTTCCATAGGGGCCCGCTTCTCTTCCGCATGAGATTCTGAGAGCGCGATGACCTTGTATATATCCTTGACATCGTGAGTGTCGCGGGCCGCCTGAGGGCCCCACTGTGTAATGTTAGCGAAGAGGAGGTTCGTGTCAAAGCTGATGTGCATCATCGCCACCGCTGCCAGCGCAAGACTTACAAGTGCCCTTCTTAGCCAACATCCTCTTGACCTCCTCGTAGCTGCAACTGGTGCCTACTGCTGTGGCAGCCAGCGCATATGTGGCTGCCTGCTTGGTCTTCTCTGTTGCGTCACGTCGTTCATCTTCGTCAAGCGCCCGATCTGCCTTTGTCTTGGCTCCTTCATCCTTGTGCATGTCTGCGCCTGGTTCAGCTGCATCTGTCCCTCCACCTGGTAATGGTACGACTTCTTCTGAGTCAGCCTCTATTTTTTGTTTGCATCAGCCTCCACCCTCTTCTTAATGTCCGCCAAGAGAGTCCCGTTCTTCTTTTGGCCTTCCAGGAAAGCCTGACAGTGGGACTGCAGCTCAGCTTTCCAATCCAATAGACTCATCATCGAACTCCTCAATGCCGTCAAAGAGCGATTCGTTGACGGCGACCAAAACAGTGAGTCCATCCGAGGTGAGGTTGGGATTGGGATTGCCTTTATGAGCCTCGGCATCCCTGGGCGCGTGGTATTCGGCATATGCGGCGTCGCGCTCCTTCTCTGCCATGTGGACCAGGAGAGCCTGGTCGTTGCACTCCTCCTCGCAATCGTCCAAGTGCTTCTGCGCGGCCGCCTGGCAACTAACCGTTGGGGCTTCTTGGTCTGCTGTCCGAGCTCTGTGTCTGGCCGTAGCATCCTCTGCCTGGCAGACTGCGGCTTATTTGCAGTATTGTCTCTCTGCGCCTTCTCGTAAGGCATCGATCTCGTGCTGAAGGGCCAGGGCAGTGGCCGATCCTCGCAACTCAGGTGGTAGCTGTTCGAGGAGGGCCTTGGTCGAGGACGTGGTGCCCTCGCCCTTGTCGCGATCCCGTGCCCACGGTGCTTTGGCCTGAGAACCTGGCGGGGCCGCCTCCTTAGCCCCCGCGGGCTTGTAGATGACGATCGGCCCTTTGCAGAAGACACAGGTGCAGTCGTTCTGAATGATACGCCACTTGTAGTTCCATTTCCCGCACGAGCACCGGGCGAACGGCTGCCCATACTTCTTCCCCATCGTCGAGGTGTCTTCTGAATGGGAGATTCGCGAAGACGTCCAGCGATCCTGGTGGCCGCTGGATCCAGATCTGGGCGAACAGGCCGAAGTGCGGAGACTAGCCTCGGACTAGAGATATCCACTCGTTGCCCTGCGCAACAATGCATCTTGAGCCAAACTGGCTACGGACAACAGGAGAAGGAGGAGAAGGAGCAGGAGGAAGAGGAGGAGGAGGAGGCTTCCGTATGCTTTTGAAGCTTGTAGGGCTCTTCGAATATTTCCGACCGATGCCTGCATTACCACGCGCTTCCTGGATATTTCCGGCGCGCGGGCGAAGAGAAAAAGGGCGACGATAAGGAAACTTAGGATGTACGGGCCGGGGGCGGAGGGTGGGGGAGGTGAGGCTGAGAAGGAGTGGGTGGAGATGGTGGAGGATCACGGGGACTGAGAAAAGCGTGAGGGATGATGCTGATGTTGATGTTGATGTTGTTAATGTTGATGTTGACGATGCCGATGCCGATGATGCCGCTGATGGTGATGGTGGTTGTGATGGTGTTGGTGACGGATGTTGATAGTGCTGCTGCAGGTGAGGGTGATGGTGATGATGCTGATGGTGATGATGGGGAGGAGGTGAGGGAGGCGGAGGAGCGGGGGGGGGCAGGACGAACAAAAAACACTGTTGTTGTGCGGCAGCTGCTTGCTCCTCCTCCTCCTCCTCCTCCTCCTCCTCCTCCTCGTCCTCCTCCTCCAAGAGGCCCCCAAGGCGCCCCCAGAGGTACCCAAGACGCCCCCCGAGGCCTCCGGGACTGTCCAATCCCCCTAAGACGCCCCAACAGGACCCCAAGACATTTTTGAACGAAATCCGAAAAGACCCCGAGAGGCATCCGAAAGAAACATCTGGCTTTTATGCTCGCCATCCTCTTCCTCCTCCTCCTCCTCCTTTTCCTCCTTTTTCTTTTCTTCTTCCTCATCAGCCTGTTCCCCTTCCTTCCTCGTCCCTCGTCCCCCTCCCCTCTCCCTTCTCCTCCTCCTCCTTCCCCCCGTCCTTTTGCTCCTCCTCCACAGCCCTTCATTATTCTGCGTTCTACTGTACACCCCTGACCAAGACAACTCGTATGGACACTGTTTCCCAATGGAGTGGTTGGAGATACTTTTTCGGTCGCGGCCGCCAGCGAAGAGGCAGGCGGCGGGCAAGGTGTCCGGGCCAACGGGCAAGCCTAATTAGCTACAAGAGGCGCACTAGCCGGCCGGCCCGCTCACAAAGCAGCCGCGAGGCAGAGGGGGGACTGACGGCAGGGGGCGTCCTGGGAAACTCGAGCACATGAAGCACGGCCCACACAGAAACAAGACGTGTACCTGAGCCTGGTTGGAGCTACGCGAAGCGTCTTGAACCCCTCATGTTCCAAAACATTGCAGTCATCGTATTGATTTTCCTTTTCTTCTTGTCCCTCGTCGTCGTCGTCTTCGTCGTTGTCTTCCTCCTCCCTTTCCTTCTCCTCTTCCTCCTCGTCCTTCTCGTCGTCGTCGTCCTCGTCCACTTCCTCCTCCTCCTCCTCCTCCTTCCGTCGCCCCCGCGCGGGCCCCAGGGATGGCCCGAAGACGCCCTCCAAAGCCACCCCTTGCTCCAAAGATCTCTTTGTTCACCCTGGTTGCCCGCTCTGTTTCACTACATGTGCCTCTTCTTCTCTTTACCTGTCAAATATCATGAATGGTTCGGTGGGGATGCTTTTTCGTCGCGGCCGCAGGCGAGCGCGCCAGCAGCGTCAGAGGTCGGGCGGGCTACGCGCGAACTTGATTGCCAAGCGCACGGGTACCGACGGCCGAACCTACTTGGTGGGGATACTTTTTTTTTGGTCGCGGGCGGACGCGGATTCGCAGTCGCCGAGCTGAGAGGTCCGGGCCACGGGCCTGTCAAATTAGCAACGCGCAAGCCTAAAAACACAGCGGCCGCGCCCGCACTCAGAAGCTGCCGCCGGTGGTGCTGCGGACTGAAGGGGAGCTGGCTGAGCTGACTGCAAACGGCCAGGGTAGCTGATGCACCATGCGAATGAATGGCTCCCAAACGCCAGAAATGAATGAAGTCCTGCACGCCAGGAGAACATGATCAGCACTGTATCTGCAAACCACACATCAGCCTAGCGGAGCGCTTCCACCGCCGGGCCAACCCAGGAGGCGGCGCGCTACCAGGAACGCTTGGTGGGGATACGCGAAGCGTGAAGAAATCCTAAGCTCCGCTGGCGGAGGGTGGCTGCACGAGCCATGGGACGAAGGGAGGACGCAGGCTGGCGCGCTTCCGCCAAGGAAAGACCCCGAGGCGAAGGTCCAGTTCAACAAAACTCAACCATCACACCCGGGGCCTCTGGCCCGTGCCTCCCAGGGCCTCGCAGCCGCTTGGGAGAATTGGCACGGGAGGGATGACGACGACCGACACGGCGGGAGGGGGCGGGAACGAAGAAACATTACACGAGTAACACCCATCCAGAAGGGGGCGCGGCCATGGGACGAAGAGAAGGGCGGAAGCCCCCGCCAGCGGGAAGGCTCGCCTCGGGCTCTCCGCTTGCGGCCGCCTTCCGGGCCCGCGCGGCCATCTCCAGGGCCCTGGACCGGCCAAACTTCGCGGGCGCCTGCGCCGCCGCTGGGCGCGGGAGGGTGCGGCGGGGGGGCGGGGAGGGCGAGGAAGGATAGATAGCAGCGGGGAAGGAAGGAGATGGAGAGGGAGGAGGAGGAGGAGGAGGAGGAGGAGGAGCAGCAGGAGGAGGAGGAGGAGGAGGAGGAGGAGGAGCAGCAGGAGGAGGAGGAGGAGGAGGAGAAGGAGGAGTACGCGCAAGAGGATGAGGCTCGAACAGTCGGGGTTCGAAGACACGGGGTTCGAAGATCGAGGTTCGATGTTCAAAATGTGTGGGCGTCCTTGAACTGTTCGAGCCATTTTGGGCCCCGTAGGGCGCCCTTGTGGCCACGGCTGGATCCTCCTCGAGATGATAAGAAAAGCACGCGCTGTGTGTGGACGGAGGGTGAGAAGAGAGAAAAAGGCAAGGCGGGGGGGTGGAAGGATAATGATGATGATGATGATGATGATGATGATGATGATGATGATGATGATGATGATGATGAGGAGCAGGAGGAGGAGGAGGAGGAGGAGGAGGAGGAAAGGGACCATAAAACATCCGATATGCATCAACTGGAGCTGCAGTGCACTTCTCGTCCCAAGCCCCCTCCCCATAAGTCCATACGAGTATTCTTTTCCACTGCGGGCGCCCCCTTTGAATGACGAGCGGCTGGTCGGTCCGCCAGTCAGACGAGAACGCCTATTGTAAAGGATCCTCCTCCACTTGAAAGACGCCCAAGGCACCATTTTTAAAAGCACGCGCCCTCATCCGGCTAAACGTTGCAGAGTGTCGAAGTCGTGGACGTGTGCTCCGCGGAACCCTCACGCGAGAGCTGCTCAATGAAACCCAACGATAACGTCATGTTGAAAAAGCAACACGCCGTCCGTCGACGAATTGCAAGATGTCGAAGCCGTTGACGCATGCTCCGTGGAAATCCCACGCGACAGCTTTTCAATGACGCCAAGGGGTAGCCTCATTTTGAACAGAATCTGCCCTCCATCCGTTTAAGCGTTGCAGGATGTGAGTGTCATGGACGCATGCTTCGCGGCAGTCTCAGGCGAGAACCCCATTTCGAAAGAGGAACTACACTCCACCCACATCAATTATTGCACAATCCGAACTGCCGGGACGTAGAGGTCGAGGACGGGTCAAGTGAGTGTAGATAGCGGACTGTGTTTTCAAAGACACGCGAAGCCAAGGGGAGACCCTAACGCGGTAGGGGCGTTTGTTAAGGAATGCGCACAGGATGCAGCAGGCGCTGGAGGATTCCTTCTCCGATGAAGGCGGCGGTGATATCCATGCCCAATCCACGATTGGAGTTCCATCGGCTTCCAGAACTATTCTTCATCTAAGGGCTCCTTCTCTAGGCTGACGGCTCGGCCTCCCGAACACTCATGTAAGGTTTTTGGCGGATTTTGACCCTCGAAGACGACCCCGGATAGCGTGGCTCGATCGCGGCCCTGGCGCGCAGTCTGCGCGGATCCAGCCTGGCAGCAGCGTGGCATATGCAAGGACACAGCGCTCTAACAACACGACAGCCGCCAGGCCTCCGCATGGCACGCGCACGGCAAACGGCACGGCAGCTGCGCGGCATACGTCAGGCAGCCGCATGGCAACCGCATGGCAAACGCATGGCAGTGGCAAGGCGGTCGCATAACAACACTACTGCAATCGCACGGCCACGGCCTGGCCACGGCCTGGCCACGGACCACGCCAGGGCCCAGGCTGGCCCTGGCCAGCCACGGTGATGGTGTATAGATGCCTTCTGCTTAGACCAGCGGGGGGTCGGAGGAGGGCGGGGGTGGGGTCGGTCACGGGCGCTCTCTCGCGAAGAAGGCAAAGGGGACTCGTGGACGCGCCCCCATCGAAACCCCCAGGCTTTCAAGGCCACTCTTGCTCAGGGTCACTGCTCCGTGTGTTGCCGCCTTCTGTCGGCTTCCCCCCGACATACTACTGCTATGTGTGCGTCGCCCCGCCAAGGGCGACGCTCGCACCGAGAAGTATCATAATACTATGCGTCGTGGCGGGCGCTCTCTGGCCACACCGCTCGGGAAACGATGTACTACAATGTGGTTATGCTATATGTCCGGGTCGGACGCGCGCCTCCGAGGAGGACATGCACAAAGGACCCGTATACACCAAGGTCCGCTTCCCTGTGCAAATTTCAATGCCTGGCTAGATTAAACGTCGGTGTATAGAGTTCGGCTCCGTATTTTTGGGTGACCCAGCAATATATTCTGGGTAATTATATTGCAAATGTACTGCTCCAGCCCAGGGTAGCTCCAAAGCAGCCCGCGAGGCCCCCGAGAGGACCTCAAGTCGGCCCAAGAGGATCCAACTATCGGCCCATGTGGCTCTCTAGAGGGCCCCAAGACGGCCTTGAAGCGCTCCAAGAGTAACAAGACTGCCCAGAAAAGGCTTTGTGGGCTGCCTTGGGCGGTCGGGCACCCAACCATACCAGAACCCCAGAATCCGTCAAACACATAAAGCAAACCTGACGGGACAAAAACGGGAAGCGTCATTGTGTGCCCTGGGCTTATGAGATATCCTACGTTCTTGGCATGCGCTGCGCAATTCGGTCGTGATGTGCGTGCGTTTGCGCGTGCGCATGCGCGTCCGTGCGTGGCCCGCCGGGGGCCCAAGAAGGCCCCAAGGATTTCCCTCCTCATCCTGATCTTCTCCCTTTCCTCCTCCTCCTCCTCCTCCTCCTCCACCTCCTCCTACTCCTACTCCTGCTCATGCTCCTCCTCCTGCTTCCTCGTCCTCTTCGTCGTCCTCGCCCTCCTCCTTCTCGGTACCGCGCGGACGAAGACGATATCGGGACCACGACCCGTCCGAATGCAGACTAATCGTCGGAATTGCGCAGCGTGTGCACTCAAGCTCCTGCTACGTTGCTGAACAGGCACGGTGGCGGGGTTTGCCGCAGGCAGCTTGACATTCACACGTCTGGATACACATGTACACATGATGAATGTAGGTATGTCTGTCTGCCTGTATGTATGCATGTATGTATTTCTAGGTGTATATCCACGTATTTGTGTATGTGTGTGCGTGTGTGTTTGTCTACATGTATGTGTAGGTGTGCATGAATATGTATATGTATATGCATACGTAACCGCATCAGTGTATGAGTATGCAGGTGCATGTCTGTGTGGTTATACGTATTCAATTGCATACATATCCACCCATATCTGGATGTCTAAATGTATGTGTGTATGCGTAGGTATGTATGTGTGTACCTCGGTATGTATGTATGTATGTCTGCCTGGTTATGTAAATATAACTATGTATGCATGCATGCTTGCATGCATGTATTAGTGTATGTGTGTGCGTGAACAGGTGTGTATGTATGTATGTGTACATGCATGCATTTATGTATGTATGTATGCATTTATGTATGCCTGTCTGTCTGTCTGTCTCTGTACGCATGAACGTATGTGTGTATGCACGTATATAGGTATGTATGTATGCATGCATGCATGCATGTATGTATGTATGTATGTATGTGTGTATGTGTGTATGCATGTGTGTATGCATGCATGCATGTATGTATGTATGCAATTATGCATGTATGTATGTATTTATGTAGGTATATGGGTGTATACATATGCATGTGTATTGGTATGCATGCATGTATGTATAGGTGACTGTATGTATGCATGTATGTATGTATGCGTGTATGAATGTGTGTGTATGTATGTATGCATGCATGTATGTTTGTGTGCATATGTGTATGTATATATGTAGGTATGTGTGTAGATGCCTGTCTGAATACCAATATCAATGTCTGTCCGATTTCGCCTCTACCGCTGGTTTTCCCTCCTCTTGCATCCTCTTCCACCTGTACACTCAGATCAATCAGCGCTAGGCATAATGTTTCGCCCGCCGCCCTCGCATCCGTGCACACGCAAGGCATCGCAGGCACGCAAAGGCAACTCGAAGCAAGACAGCCCTCACGCCCCCCCGCCACTCGTCGCCGCCGCCGTCCCATCGACGATGCGACGACGACCGACGAGTGACGCTCATGACGAAGGACCAGAGACGAGCGACAAAGCCGACGACGACGACGAACGACGACGGACGATGCGCGACGAAACACGGCGAGCGACGCCGCCGCCGCCGCCGAAGACGACAAACGGGGTGGCCAACGACGACAATGGGCGACGGCACCGCCGCCGATGGCCGCCGCGAGCCGCCGCCGCAGGGCCGCCGCCGAGGGCCGCCGCGGAGGGCCGCCGAAGGCCGCCTCTGAGGGCCGCCGAGGGGCTGGCCGAGCCGCCGGCGGCCGGCCGGAGCCTGACGCGGCGAGGCCGGCTCGGCGCTCCACCCGGCCGGCTGTGGCTGACGGCAGCCGGCCTCCTGGGGCTCCCAGGGGGGATATGTAACATGTGGTCTTCTGGGCCCCCAGGCTGGACCACCTCTTGCGCAGCATCTGAGAGCTCAGAGTTGCGAGTATGTCTTGTGCGAAACGGGCCGGACTACCTTGCGCACGACATCTCAAAGCTCAGAGTTACGAGGATGTCTCAGGCGAGATGGGCCAGACCACCTCGCGCAGGTGGGCCCTGGCGGCGGCCGCGCCCTGGACGGAGGGGGGGCCTCCAAGAGGTGCCGCGGGGCGACCACATGTGAGCCCCACTGCCATCGTGCTGCGGTCCCAGACACACTCGCGCCGGGAAAGAATCTCACGACGAGCATCCGCGTTCGCTGTTTTCGGCCGTCGGCCTCTGGGGGCCCTTACCAGGCCTCGGGACCGTCGGAAACGGTTCAGAATGGGAAAGCGGTCCTGGGGAATGGGTCGAAACCTCAGCGGGTCGATGTTATGAAAAAATCATGGCGTCGGGGGTCTGGGGCCATCATGCTGCCACAGGGCATGCAGAATGAGGTTGCGAAGGGGCTTTTCTGGCCACGGCGAGCCTCGGCCACGAGTAGGTACCCCGACCTGGATCTAAGAAACGGCCTGGGAACCAGAGCCTCTTCTTCAGCTTCTTGACAGTACCGTGCCCCTGCAAGTCAGGCTTCTGAAGAGACGGCTGTGGTTCAAACTTTGGAAGACGTCTGCGGCCATGTGAACCACAGCAGGAATCCCCATGGCCCCTGCGTCGAAAGGACCCCTAGCGTTAGGATTCGTAAGCGGTCGTAGATCCGCGGCGCGTCCGCCAGCTTAGCTGGGCGGGCCGGCGGGCAGGTGGAGCGTGAGCCGCGGACTTCTGCCATAGAGGAAACGGTCGGCGACTCTGATGGGTGAGGATTCTCCAAGGGTGTGGGTTGCAACCCGCACCCCTGGGGGCGGGCGAGGACTTCGACGGAGCTCCCCGCCGCGCCCCGACGAGGGCAGCGTGCTGCCCGCAAGCCACAACGGCAAGGCACACCCCGGCGCAAGCATACAGTCATCGTGCTACCATCAGGAGCGCATCAGTGAAGGGGAACCGGGACACACAAATAAATGCACACAAATAAAATTATCCCCCATATTTCCCCAGATTGTCAGGGTTTTTGTCTTCCCCCCCACTTCCCCTATTTTCCCATATTTTCTGGGGGATCGACGATTAATTGTGTCTGTGTTTTTTTCCCTCCTGAAAAGGGCTTTCTCTGGCCACGGCGGGCCTGGGCCTCAAAGAGAAGCTCCACGACAGAGAAAAGTCAGGGACGGCCCGAGAGCCCGGGCCCCTCCCGAGCCCGGAACGGTGAGCATCGTTTTTATCCGATCCCCATCCCCGGCGGCGTGGCGTGGGCCCCACTGGCCGATTTACCCCCCTAGAGATGGGGATATAGGTCGCTCCCTTCGGGTTTCGAGGGGCATATCCCCAACTGGGGCGGTCATCTGGTGGGGGTCTCGAAGGGGATGGGGATGGGGATGGGGATCGGTTGAACGATACAGAAGCGGTCCTCCTTTCAACATCTTGACTGCACCCCTCGCAGTCGCCGAGACAGACCCTGCATGGGGAAACCGAAAGATGCCGACCCCGCTGCTCCCCGGACCTCTCCTGGGGTGCGCTCCGACCAGGATTCCGAAGCGCAACCAGCGGTGGCGACGAGAGCCTCCCAGGAGGCCCCAAAAGGGGAAACGCGGGAAGGGTGGCGGCATCGGCGCCTTTTGTCCTTCGTTTGGCTTCCGGGAAGCGGCAACGGCTCCCATCCCGAACTGCGGTTCTCGACGGGGCCCCGGGAGCCCGAAACACGGCGGCGGACCGCGGAACCCGTGCCCCTCCCAGAGATCCGATGTCCGGCTGATGTGTCCTGCGGGCTCCCCTGCCGCAAGACGAAGCCAAGACAAAGACAACAAGCTCGTTCTAGCTTTCACATGCCACAATCCATATGCAGCCAAAGCGGCAGAAAACGAGCGATGCTGTACTGTCTCGGCACGCACTGTTGCTTTTGAAACGGTTGGTCATGCTGAAGGCCCCTCGCGTGCATCTCCGACTTATCTGGATGATGTCGCTGGCGTCTGGCGGCATTTCGCATCAAATCGCGGATTGTTTCGAAGCAGGGCCGCCAGAGGGCTTGCGGAAGCAGCCGGGCCAGTTTGCGGCGCGCACGAAGCGGCGCAGAAGGGGGGCGACGGCCCTCGCCAGGGAGCTGGGCTTCACCGAGTTTATCCGCGAGGCTTGACCTGAGGAGCGGCCCGCCCGAGCATCGCCGCCTCTCGACGGTCTGACTGTTTGGCCTCGCGCCGCGGGCGACCCGCGCTCGTCGCTAAGGCCCTCTCGGAGCGACCGGCGCGAGTCGCGGGAATTCCGCGCTGCGCTCTGCCCAGAGCCTCGCTCGCCCCCGTCGTCGCTCTGCCCGGCGGCCACAACCTTGCCCGCTATCGGCCGGCCAGCTAGCTCTCTCTGCTCCGCGCGGCGGACGACCCGCGCGCGTCGCCGCGACCCCTCCGGGGCGACCAACGTGCGTGGCGGGGGCTCCGTGCGGCGCCGCGCCCGCGGCCGTGGACATCGGCGCGCGCGGGCAAAGAGGCAAAAAAAAACAGGAAGGAAGCGGGCGCGACCCTCGCGAGGAGCGTGCCGACGCGGGCGTCGACGTTCATGCGCGTAGACTGATTCGCGCGCAGACTCATTCACAATCGGGCGCGCTCGCGCTCAGGCTCACCCGTTCTCAGTCTCTCGCACTTGGACCGACCGTTCTTCTTCGCATTGTGGACCCCGCCGCGCATGTCGGCGCGCCCCCCGCGCGGCTCTTGGCCCCGCAGGGGGCGCGAGCGAAGGTGATGTTCACAAGTATTCACTGCTGCATATGGTTGGGTCCTTCGACGGGCAAGTGTTCTCCTATCCCGGGGGAGACAGCGGGGGGCGCGGTCGGAGAAAACAATGAAGTCGCCACCGGGAAGATTGAGAAAGGGGTCGTGGGGGAAGATAGCGCGGCCACCCGCGATGAGAAAAAAAGACACGCTTGTGTAATCTGCCCCTCCGGGCCTCGGCGAGGCCGGACTCGATGACTGGAACGAGACAAGGTTGTTCGCCGCCGGGAAGTCACGAGTGCGAATGTTGTAGTGATTCGCGCAGCGCCGTCCATTCGCGCCCCCCCATCTCAGTTAGGCGCGGCCGTCGACGAGGAAGGGGGGAGAGCAAGCAAGCGAAACGCAATCGGACCCGGAGTCTTCTCTAGCGACGAGACGCGCAAATTCGCTAATCTAAACGGCGCGTGCGCATGCGACTTCCCCGCGAGGAGGAGGCCCCGTGTGGGGGGGGGGGGGCGCAGATGCCTGAGGGCGGCCCGCGAAGAAGACAGATCCAGCGGGCGGTCTATTGCGCCGGCCACCCGTCGCTTCAAGGCGAACCCTGGAGCTTTGAAATTTGTGAAACAAGGGTCACAACTCACTCCTGTCCTGAAGCTTTCGCGGCGCGGGTCAGACGCAAAGAAGGGGGTGTTGCGAGTGGGGGAGATCCCGCGCATCGCGCGGGGCGCCGTGCGTCTCTTGCAATGCCGCGATGCTACCTTTGAACGATAGGCGGCGAAACGGTCTGACTTTTTTCGCTCTCGCACTGCGATCGCGGTTGGAGCGAGCGAGAGCAATCATTCCAGGACACAGCGAGCAGCGACAATTTGCATTCGAATTCCTGGAGCACCGAGCCGCCCCACACGGCCGCTAACGCGTCGGGAGCTCCACGCAGTCGGCGCCGCGGGGCCGCGGGATTCCAGGGCCGCCTGGCGCGCGCGAACAACGTCCGTCCCTTCGGCGACGAGGTTGGCGTCGGCCCAGTGGAGGCTGGGGCGCCCTGACCCTCGACGGGGACAACCTGACAGAAGGGCTCCATTCATCAAGAACTCACCCTTGAACTTGCTCATGAAAAAATCGCTTGCGGAGGCACATTGAAAGTGTGGCTGCCCTGGCCTTCTCACAGCCGAGCTCCTTGCGAACCATGCGCGTGTTTTGGTCGTGGCCCCGAACGAGTGGAATGGGGCCGTCCGCGAAGGATTCAACGGCGAATGGGTGCCGAGACGGAGGATCGACTCCTGGGGGCGAGGTCTTGAAGTTGCCGGGGGCCTGGTTGACCTCGCGCTCGGCGAGGGGCCCTTTGAAAAAAAGGGTTTTGGCAACGCAGTGCTGAGGGTGGGCCGTCGTCGAACTGCCACTCGTCACCGCTGATGTTGGGGCCCTGGAGCCACGATTCGACCGCAGTCTCGATGGCAGCCCGAGAGAAGAGCTGCGGGGAGTTGACCACCACAATTCCAGAGCCAGTGGGGCGATCGAAGGTGCTCGTCGCGTTGCGTAACGGTGGTTGGGTGTCTTCACTCGCCACCTGCTTGTCAAGCAATCCCAACCAACGGGGGCGTTCAGTCGTAATCTTCTTTACACCAAGCAGACGTGTCGCCATCTGGCGGCTGAGACTCCCTAGCGAAGGGTTGGTACTGGAGGTAAAGTTAGAAGTCGATGTCGCGACACTGGACACCACTGCGGCGAGGGCAAATTGGAGCTCCGCCTCCACGGGATCAACATGCTGCCAAAGGTGTGCCGTGTCTTGCACTGGGGGCAGAGGAGCTTCGTCGCCGCTGCTTGCACTGCCGAAAGCGAGAGGTGAGACCGCTGGGGCACTGCCATTGGTGGCGGGGCCTGTGATGCCTGCGCGAGCTCCGAGCGGCGTGGCAAGGGCAGGACACTTGTTGGGTTTTTCCATGCTGTCGTCGCCGCTGTCACCGATGATGTCGAAGCCATCGCCGAAGGGAACAGCACGCTTTGGGCCACCAGCTGGAGGATTCCCGCCATCAGGGGTACCAGTGAGACTCGCATCAGGGAAAATGTGAGAGGCGGAGGACGGGGTGATCTGGAGCTGGTGGACGGGCTGGGACTGATTGTCGACATTGATCGCCGCGCGCGTCGCTCGTTGCCTCCAAAGAGGCAACACCCACAACGAAAGCGAAACTGCGAGGGGGAGGGCCCGCGCCAAACAGTGGACGCGGGGATCGTGTGGTGTCCACCAGCGCTTGACATGCTGGATCGCTCGGAAGAGACCTGCCCACTCAGAAATGGGACCTGTTCCCATCTTGATCCACAATGGCTACGGACCTCCTCCTCCTCCTCCTCCTCCTCCTCCTCCTCCTCCTCTTACTGCTCCTGCAGTGGGGAATGGGGCCTCGCGGCGAACTCGCCGTAGGAACCTGACAAAAGTCCCCTCGGATGAACCCCGCCCCAATTTCCCTTTCCCCTCTTGACCTCTTCCCTTGATGGGCAGGGGACCTCAAGAGGAGGTGCCGCCGTCGTCGCCGACGTCGTCCCAACCTGCGCCCTCGCCCCCAACGCCGCCGACGGCGCATGCGCGGCCGCCGCACACGCCGGCGCTCGGCGTCGCCGCCAGGTCAGCGCGCGCGGCGTCGCCACCGCATCGTCGGAAAGCGGCGTCGCTGCAGCGTCGGCGGCGGTGGCGCTCGGCGGCGGCGGCGCTGGCGCCCGGCCGGGGGGGGTCTGCCGGCTCCGCCTCGGGCGGCGTTGGCTGCTGCAGGGCCGACGTTGGGAGCTGCCAGGGCCCTTCCTCGGCGAGGGGGAGGGGAGGAGGAGGAGGAGGAGGAGGAGGAGGAGGAGGAGGAGGAGGAGGAGGAGGAGGAGGAGGAGCAGGAGGAGGACGAGGACGAGGAGGAGGAGGAGGAGGAGGAGGAAGAGGAGGAGGCGGAGGAGGAGGAGGCGGAGGAGGAGGAAGAGGAGGAAAAGCAGCAGCAGGGGAGGGGGGAGGGAAGGAGGGGCAACAAGGGGCAAGGGATGTGGGCAAGGGGGTCGGGGGCAGGGAGGGTGGGGGCAGGAGGAGGAGGAGGTCATGGGGAGATGGGGCGGGGGAGGTTGGCGGCAAGGAGAGGGCTGTGGCTGCCACCCGCATTGCGCACCGTGCAGGTGCCGCGGGTTGGGGCCCGAGGCGCCAGCACCGGCCCAAAGAGCGTCCGACAGAAAGTTGGCCTGAGACTGCTCCGAACACCACCTGTGTCACTTGAGCAGGGGGGCGGCGCGTCGCACTCTGCAGTAACCTTGCCGTCGCTCGGACGTCCATTCCCTGTTTTTCTTTTTTTTCTAATTTCGTGCGCGGTTTTTTCGCCAAATCACCAAGGATGCTCCTCGATGGTCCTCGCCGAAGAAAACATGCACACGTCCGAGCGATGTCAGGTAACAGTGTGAGGATCCTCGGTGCGTCAACGACTGTTTGTGGCCTGGCATGAACTGGGGCGTGTCGTCGATCCAACGCTGTCTGGGGCGGTGCGGGCGCGTCCTCGCGCACAGCTCTGCGTGTTGGCACGGGTCCAGCAGACAACAAGCCGCATCCACTCCCACGGCGCTTTGCCTGCGACTTTTGCGAGCCACCGCAATGTTCTTTGTCGCTGTTGTGCGATCCAATCGATTCGATGCAGACGCTTAGATGTGAAGTTTTGCCTCCCGCGTGATGCGCTTAATCCATGCCGCCCACCACCCCATCTGTTGTAGGGTTCCTGCTTCCTGCGAGTTTTCAGCTCCCGATGAATGAAGGCATCCCCACATCAACCACATCAGAAGCTCTATTTTCTAAACCCAGACCTTATATAAGAATCCATGCATATACTATAGATGTACATATGTACTAGCGCCCAGACATTGATTTCGACAAAATGTGCCATGCGCGAGACTCCCATGGAGCATTGCTCACATGGAGTTTTCGCGCACATGCACCAGCGCATTTCTACCAACAGAAACGAAAATATAATAACACACCGAAGCGGTTCAGAAAGACCGGTGTAACATAAACTATGTATGGGACCATACGTGTAGCGATGTGTAACATTCGCCGTGGGAGCGCGCCGACTACACCCACAGGCGTTCCGAAAACCTGTGCGTGCAGATCGTCCTGATGTGTGTGTGTGTGTGTGGATTGGTTGTTCTCCTGAATGAATATTTTCGTATACTCCTTGCACGCTGTCTGCACCATCTTCGCTGCTGACTGTTGCTCATGCTGTCATGCGTTCGTCTCTCACGCCGCGATCTACTTCGTATCATTTGCGACGTGGCGTCCGACCTGTAGCTTTAATGAAGGGCTTTTGCGTGCGAGATAATAAGCTTTCAAATACCCTACCAAAAGCCACGACCCACAACCATATAGCAACGCCAACGTAATATGCCAATCGAACACTCGCAGGCAATCTGTCATATGATACCGACGCCCACGGAAAACACGTCTCAATACGTAAGACGTTTCCGCACCGTGCCAATCATATTTTCAGTCCGTCTCTGTGTGCATCAAAAACATATTTCGCGACCAGGGTGCTTGAAGTTCCTAGCAACAGCATGTATCAACAAAAACGACGCCACCATCGTCGGCGCGAAGCGCCAGGGAGGGTCCTCCTGGTTGCCTGCCCCCTCCCCCCGCCCCTCCCCCCCCCCTCGCCCGAGACATGCCTTTTTTTCCCCAGCTCGGGGAGGCATCGGCGACCCCCATCGCTGGAAGTGTCCTCCGTAGTGATGGCCCCACGCATGCGATCTGGATTTGCCTTATGTACGGGGCCTCCTGCAATCCTGGCCCCTTCCCCAGGGCCGGCTTTCATCCCGGACCGTTCTTCGCACAGGGGAGTCCGAACTCACTCCACAAAGAACTGGTCCACTGCCCCGCCCGCTCCCCCCGCATTTTGACTTCTCACTCGTCAAACTATCCGCGCAACGTCCTCTGTGCCCGCATGGATTTCTCTGCTCTCCCCAGGGCTTCCTCTCGTATTGCCACTGGCTTCCTGATGGTTATCCCAGCGAAGCCCCGAAGATCGTCAACGCAATCAGCAGACATAGGAGCAGAGAAGCGTCGAATCGAGTACCCACGGGCTGACACCAGCCCCACCCGGGCGGGGGGCAGCTCATTGCCCGTGGCCAACCCCGCCAAGAGGCCTTCCACGCTCCAGCCCCCAACCCGGTGCCGAGGGCGAGGCGGGCGAGCGAGCCGAGCGCAGAGAAATACAGAGAGCTGGCTCACGCCTGAGAATCCTCCCCGCCGCTAAACCCACCCCTTCACGCACGCGGGAACCTTCTGCCCCTGTAGAGCAGAGCAGGGTAGGAAATGGTGGATGCGTAGGGCAGCGCAGAATAGGCTGATCGGATTCGGTGAGGCCAGAGTAGAACAGAGTAGAATAGGGTAGATAGTACGAGTGGAATTCACGTAAAGGGACAAGTATAGTAGAGCAGAGGATAGTGTATGGGAATGCAGTGCTGCTGGAGTAAAGTGCAATACAAGTAGAGAAGACTTTTTTAGGTTCGGGTAGGGTCGAATCGGGTGGAGCAGAATAGAGTAGATGGTAGTGTAGAGCCGTGTGCAATATAATACAATGCAGCAAAGTAGAACAGAGTACAGTGGAATGTATAATCAGGTGGAGTAAGGCGAGTTGACAGAGCAAACCATTATCATCGCACCATCATCGCCACCGTCAGCATCATTCAACTCGCCAGTCTGTTCATAATCATGATGATGCTGCAGCTGGTGATGATGGTAATCATCATCAGCATCATCATCATCAGCCTCAGCAAACTGTGCTGACAACCTGTGCTGACAAAACGGGCGGGTACATTGGGGGACGCACCGTACCGGGCCACTCCGACCCATCACAAGTCCCAGGACCGGGAGTGACCCCTCGTGCCAGTGCAGCTCCCAGGATCCGGGGCGGGAGGCGGGGGGCGGAAAAGGGGGGGAGGGGGGGAGAGAGGAGCTGGCCATCGCTCGGACGTCCATATCCTGTGTTTTTTTCGGGCTTCGTGCGCGTTTTTTTCGCCAAACGATCGAGGATGCTCCTCGATGGCCCTCGCCAAGAAAAAAATGCACACGTCCGAGCGATGCCAAGGGAGCGACGACCGCGTGCGCGCGCCCTGCGATCCCGCGGCGCGCGCGCCCGTCGCCCACTCGACGAAGTCCGAGGCCCCGCTGCTTGCCGCCGCCGCCAGCGCTGCCCTCCGCCCCCCCCCCCCTCCTCGTCGGCTCTGCAGGGGCCCAAGGACACACACACACACATAAAAAAATACACACAAATACAAGTATTCCCCATAGTTTCCCATGTTTTCGGGGCTTCTGTCCTCCCGCCCCCTTCCCACATTTTCCCGTAATTCTCTTGGGAATCGACGATGGATTGCGTCTGTGTGTTCTCTCCCCTCCTCGTCGGCTCGCGCCTCCCCCGCAGGGGGGGGCCCTCGCGCGTGGAGCGGGCCGGTGCTCCGCCCCTCCCCTCTCTCGCGCCGCGGCGGCTGCGGGGGATCGGCCCACCGACGGCCCACCCGCACCCGCGGGCAGGCCCCCCCAAGGGGGGTCTGCATCCACGTCTCCCGTGGGGAGGCTACCCATCGGTCGGAAGAAGTAGGTAGAAACATGAAGCAGGAAGGCGTTGGAAATAGATTGGGTTTCCGCACGCCTCCTGAAGAGGAAGGAAGGGGGAAAACCACTCGACTCTTGAAGTAGGAAGGCGCTGAAAGTATATTGGAAGCTGGGAATCCAAAAATACATACTTTCAACGACCGATGGGTAGAGGTGTGCATCCGTTGCCGCACGACTCCCCGAGAGCCCGAGCGCTTTTACCTTTCCCTACACCTTCACCTCCGGCTCCTCGCACTTCCTTTCTTCGGCGAAGACGACCACTGACCCACTTCTCCTCCTCCTCCTCCTCCTCCTCCTCCTCGTCCTCCTCTTCCTGATCCTAGTCCTAGCCCGTCCCGACCCGAGTCAAATCCAGTTCAGATCAGTCTAGTCCAGTCTATCCAGTCCAGGCCAGCCCACCCCAGTCCAGTCCTCCCTAAATCAATCTACTCCAATCCACTTCATGCCAATACCCTGATCTGTTTAGAGTCTGCGCTGGCTGGTACTTGACGGCCCCAAGGCCTGCCAGGGGCCCCTGGAGGCCGGAAACGAGCCGAAACCTCCCGTCGTGACTCTTGTCGCGACGCGAGCACGTCTGGGCCTCCTAGGAGCCGCCGCGAGGCTCGCGCCGACGCGCCGGGGGCGCCTCGGACAGCGAGGCCGGCGACAGGGGCGCCTCGGCCAGCGAGGCTGGCGGCTGCCCCCGGGCGCGGCCGCCGCACGCCTTGCCACTGGCGCCGCCCGCCTCTCCGTGGTGTGAGCCACCGCCGCTGTCGCCGCCGCCCGCCGCCGCCCGCCGCCGCCGTTCGCCGCCGTCCGCCGCCGACCGCGGCCGCCGCCGCGGGCTGCAGCCGCCGCCAACGTGATAGTCTTCGGCGGCGGCGGCGGCCGCTGGCGCCGCCGCCGCCGCCGTCGTCGCGGGGGCCAAGGGAAGGAGGGCAACGTAAGGGGGGGGAGCGGGGGGGGAGCGTAGGGGGGGAGCTAAGGGGGGGAGCCGAGGGAAGGAGGGCAACGTAGGACGAAGGAGGGTAAGAGGAAGGAGCCACGAGGGAAGGAGCGAGGAGGAGGAGGAGAAGGAGGAGGAGGAGGGGGAGGAGGAGGATGCTCGTGCCAATGTGGGGCGGCAAGACGACGATGTACCGCCGACTGCGCCGTGACGTGCCGGTCCCTGGCTGAAACTTGAGGAGCCATGCCGCATCATAGAAGTTGCACCCATGGCTCCCGACCGTGCACCACCAATCAACATTGCTTGGGGGATGGGGCGATTGGGGCTTCACAATGTTATGCCATTCTCGATCTTGTGAACTGTTGGCGACCGCAGTGGTCCGCGCAGCCCGATCCTGGTTTCTCAATCTATGGGGCCTCGAGAGTTGGAGCGATGTGGAAGGAACTTTTCTTCATATGGATCCCTACTTGTGCACCGCGTGAACGCTTTCCTTCGCATGGCCATAACGTCTTCGAGCGACCTCGGCATCGACGTAATCAGTCTAGCTGAGGGCTGCCAGACTATGTACTAGGAATGTCGACCGCTTGGGTGGCTTGGGGGGGAGCAACGGTCTGGACTGTTACCTCTCTGGGCGCCACTCACCATGGCGCGCGGAACGAACCAAGGACGGCGCGGGAGGTGCCGCTTCGGTGACTTGGTGACTTTTTCCTGCTTCTAACAGAAAAAAGCCGCAAGAGAGCTAGGAATTCCTATGAACGCAACTTTTCACTAGCCGACCTCCTGCTCTTCGACTCGCCTCCTCACTTTTGGCGGCGCGCACAGGAGGTAGAGGGAGGGCAGAAAACTTCTTAGGAGGCTGCTTATTAGAAGGCGCCGGCCCGACATCTGCAGACTAGGCCCGCGCCTTCTAAGAAGCTGCCTCCTAAGAGGCCTTCCCCCCTCCCCCTACTCCCCCTGAGCGCTTTGCCGACCCGGTGCTTTGCTGGCTGCAGAGGGCTCGCCAGAATCGAGCGTTGCTTAACTCACCATCGCTCGGACGTCCATTCCTCGTGCATTTGGCTTTGTGCGTGTATTTGTTTGCAAGATGGCCCAAAAGGCTCTTCGATGGTCCGTCCTCATCGAGAGCAACTGCACACGCCCGAGCGATGCCAAGTCAATGGGGGAGCGATGCACTCGGGGTTGATTGGAAAGGACTCGCAAGAGGAAACAAGGTCCCTCCGAGGGCCATATCGCCATAGGAATGCAGAAGGCATGGGTCGCGAAACGCAGGAGACGAGGGTACCCAGGGTACCCTCTATTTGGCGGGGCAGCCCTACTGATCAACCTCGACTGCAGGTGTGGGGCGGGGGGGAGGGAGGAACGTGCACTTTTTGTGGAACTTTTGGGCCCCTTTGGGGCCCTTTCAGGGTACAAAAAGTGCACCTTTCCTCCCCCCCTTGATCGCCCCCCATAAACTATGGAACGCCGCGCCCGAACTGCATGCCAACCTCCGCGTCCGCGGCCAGGAGGATCAACGAGCTTGCCATCCTTTCAGCATCGTCAAGCCTATCCCTGTCCCCACTGGGAAAGCATCGACCCCCCTGCTGGGCCAGACCGCCCCCCCCCCCCCTCCCCTCCCCGTGGGGACTCAGGACGAGGGCCAGCCACGAGAACGACGACCATCCCAGCCTTTTTTCGTCCTTCCTGGCCCTTCTAGTGGCCTTCCCATCACGCAGCGCCCGACAGAAGGCTGGACCCCCCTGGCGGCGCCTCTGGCGCCACTCCTGGCGCGCTCCGCGCGCCAGGGAGGGGGGTCGAGCGCCGATCCAAGAAACCTGCGCAGCCCTCCGACATGTTACGTTTATGTCCTCTTCTAGTTCAGTTCATTACACTTGCTCCTCCTCCTCCTCCTCCTCCTCCTCCTCCTCCTCCTCCCTCCTCCTCCTCCCTCTCCTCCTCCTCCTCCTGCTCGCCCTCCCCATTACGCAACTCCCGACAAAAGGCCGCTGGAAGGCCGCCGAGGGGCCGCGCATGGGGACCGCGCCCGGCCTTGCGGCGAGTGGACGCGGCGAGCAGCCTGGGGTGCTCGGACTCGGCGACCCTGCCGGCGGCGTGCTCGCTCTGGAGGCCCGAGTCCTGGGGAGGCCCCAGGGGGGAGGAGTTGATCATGATGATGACGATGATGGTGATGGTGATCATGGTGATGGTGATGATGGTGACGATGATGATGATGATGATGATGATGATGATGATGATGATGATGATGATGATGATGATGATGATGATGATTATGATGACGATGCTGATGATGGTGATGATGATGCCGATGATTATCATGATGCTGATGGTGATGCAGATGATGATGATGCTGCTGCTGCTGCTGATGATGATGATGATGCGGATGCTCCTGATGATGATGATCCTGATGACGATAAGACGACTAATAACGCCAACTATGGAAATAATCGTAATAATAACCATGGTGCTGCTACCAATAATGCTGATTATGATGGTGATGCAGATGATGACGATGATGATGCTGCTGATGATGCTGATAAGACTGAGGATAAGCATGAGGCTGATGATGACGATGATGACGATGCTGCTGATGATGATGATGATGATGATGCTGACTGTGATGATGATGACGCTGATGAGGGTGACGAGGCGGAGGCGGAGGCGGAGGATGATGATGATGATGATGGTGATGATGATGGTGATGGTGATTCTGATGATGGTGATGGTGATTCTGATGATGGTGACGGTGATGGTGACGATGCTGATGCTGCTGGTGATGTTGATATTGATGTTGATGTTGATGATGTTGATGCTGATGATGCTGATGATGATGATGATGCTGATCGTGATGACGACAATTATGATAACAATACTGAATCAACAGCATAATAACAATACTGGAACAACACCGCAAACAAAGCAATGCTACTACTGCGAATAAGTATACTACTACGGCTAACAACGATGCCAATAATTCCAATAGTCAAACAAATAATCAACATGCTGCTACTACCAATGCTACTGCTGATGATGGTGATGCTGATGATGGCGATGATGCTGCTGCTGCTGATGATGATGATGGTGATGAGGATGAGCATGAGGCTGATGATACTGATGATGATGCCGACTGTGATCCTGATGACGATGATGAGGAGGATGAGGCGGAGGCGGAGGATGATGATGATGATGCTGTTGATGCTGTTGTTGTTGATGGTGCTGATGCTGACGATGATGATGATACTGCTGCTGCTGATGATGATGCTGATGCTGAGGCTGGTGCTGCTGCTGATGATGATTTTTTGATTTGCAGCCATTGTATCATGAGTCATGAAAAGCATCTGGAATCCTCTTGAATCTCACCCGCCGGCTGCACGGAGCCCGCACAGGGCCGCCGGGGTCACATCGTCAAGTGGGCGAGCTCCAGCTTAGAGTTACATCGGAGTACTTTGCAAATGAGGTTGACCAGCTTTTCGCAGCCCGTGAGTTCAGCATTCGTCACCGTCGTATTTCTTCCTATATAATAACTGCCTCTGGCTAGTACCGCCCAGTCTGGCACGGCGAGGTCGTCGCGCCAGCAACGCAAGACATAGCCGCAGCCGTAGTGCCCATTGCGGCTGCCGCCGTCGAACAACCCTTGCAGTTTCCATGGTGTCGGTGTTGTCCAGAGACATGACAGTTGCTGATACTGATGATGATGATGATGATGATGATGATGATGCTGATGATGATGCTGATGCTGCCTGTGATGATGCTGATGGTGATGACTGTGCTGATTATGCTGATGATGAGGAGGCGGAGACGGAGGACGTGGATGGATGATACTGGATGGAGGAAGAGGGTTGGAGGAGGAGGAAGAGGAGGAAGAGAGGAGGGATGGAGGAGCAGGGGTGGAGGAGAGATGAGGAGAAGCAGGAGTGGAGGGGGAGGCGGAGGAAGCGGGGCAAGCAGGAAGGGAGTGGAGGAGATATACAGAAGGATGGAGGGCGGGGCAAACGAGGACACCCCCGCCTCAAAGCCAATACTGCTGAAGCCTCGCTGGGGTTGGAGGAACAGGGCATGGTTAGAGGAGGATGAGGAGGAGGAGGAGGAGGAGGAGAAGGAGAAGCAGGAGGAGGAGGCGACGAATGACTGGCACACGATTGCGATGTCAATTCTGGCTGGCAGCATCCCCGGCTAGCCGAGTATTTCCGCTGGGGAGCTCAGCTGAGGAAGTGTCTCTGGCACTCTTGACCGCCCTTAAACTTTTGGATGCTGAAGGTGCTGGGCCAGCTTCTGCACGGCCCTCGCCTCCCGAAACGTCACATGCTTAAGGTGACGGGCGGCTCTTGCACAGACCCAGGCTGAACTTCTTCCGCATGGAGAGGCGCAGGAAGGAGGATGACATAGAGGAGGAAGGAGGGGGCAATCAATCTCAGCTTCCTTCTCCGGGCGTTGGTTCCTGACACCGCGTGGTTTGTTCGACCTTGAACGATCGGCAGCCCATCGATCCCCAGATCGCTTCATATTGGCCGATTCTGGGTTCCTGGAAGGGGCCCGCGCCGGGGTCGCCGCAGCGACACGGCGAGAACCTGCCAGTAGGATCGCGCTGTGCCGACCCAGGGTTGCCATGAAGTCGGGCGTGTCCCTCTACGGGAGGAGTATTCAGAACCATTAAAACAGGAGTTGGGACCATTCTTTAGTATCTTTGGCAATTGTTCTATCCTGTTTTGACAATTCTTCATTCTTCGTCCAAAACCCGCCTGTAGGGGGACATGTCCGACATAGGCCTACCAACGTCGTCGTCGGCCGTCTCTGGCCGAGCGACGGAAAGAAACGACCTTGCGCCGACGCGAGATGCCATAGCGACCTTACGCGGCGGGCGAATTCGGACCGCCAGCGTGGCACACCTGGCAATCGCTCGGACGTCCATTTCCTGTGTTTTTTTTCCGGTTTCGTGCGTGGTTTTTGTTCGCCAAGTGGTCGAGGATGCTCCTCGATGGCCCTCGCCGAAGGAAAAGTGCACGCGTCCGAGCGATGCCAGGAGCAGAGGGCGCTTGCGCGCGGCCTTGCGCGGGCAGCGTGCGCACGAATGTCCGCGCAGCAGGCTCCAAGCGAGAGTAGGCCGATCCTCGCCGTCCAATGCCAGGCGCCTCGAGCACCCCACCCCACTGGGCATCGCTCGGACGTCCATTCCCTGTGTTTTTTCGGTTTCGTGCGTGTTTATTCCGCCAAATCATCAAGGATGCTCCTCGATGGCCCTCGCCGAAGGAAGAATGCGCACGTCCGAGCGATGCCAAGCCCCAGGGCACAGCGACCGTGGGGGCGGCGGAGTGGCGCCGCGGGCCCACGAGGGAGGAGGAAGGGACGAGAGAGTGGCGGAGAGAAAAGAGCGACGATCACCGAGAAACAAAGAAGGGCAGACACGTTCACTTTGGGAGCTCCGCGCGGACTTCTCGGATGGGCGCTGGAGACCCGCGGCGGCGGTTCTGGCGCCGATCCAAGACATCCGCGCGGAAGTTCGACAGTTTGTGTGTGTGTGTTGTGCGATGGTTCTGGCGCCGATCCAAGACATCCGCGCGGAAGTTCGACAGTTTGTGTGTGTGTGTGTGTGTGTGTGTGTGTGTTTGTGTGTGTGTGTGTGTGTGTGTTGTGCGATTCTCTGCTCCCCGAGATCAGCGTCCGTCGGCGGCGATCGAGGGGGGGGGAAACGAGGAGGTGCGGGCCTCCTCGGCAGGCTCCGGAGCCCCCGGCCTTCCGGGACGCTGTGGACCCGTCCCGAAGCTGCAGGAGACTTCTCAGAAGGCGCGGGGGCTTCTGAGAAGTCTCGCCGCCTTCCGAGAAGGCCTTCTCCTTCTCGTTTCCCCCCTCGCTCGCCGCCGATTCTGCTCCCCGAGAGCAGCGTCTGGCTTTCCTCCTCGTGGCCGCAGAGGAGGTTTCTAGGTCGAGCATGTCCCCCTACAGGCGGACTTTGGACGAAACATCAAAACACAATCTGAACATCTTCCAGACATAATCAAACTACTCAAGGAATCATCCCTTGAATATTTTTTTGTTTTCAATATATTTTTGACTATTCTCGGGGATGGACAGACCTCCGTTTAGTAAAACGTGGTTTAGTGAAAACGACCTGAGGCCCAAACCTGGCGGGCACAAGCCTGGAAAATAACAACTGCGGCGCCCTCTCGAAAACCGAAACCGGACAATTCACTAATCGACGTGCCACTGCTGGGGGTTCTGTCCACCCCCGATATTCCTCCTAGAGGGATGCGCCCGAGCTCAGAGAAAATGCCGCGGCCGCCCTCCGAGAGACAGGCAGGCGCGAGGGACGAGCTCGCCCAAGCCGTGCCGGGCCCGCGCGGGGCACGGCCGCCGGGCGAGGAGGGAGGCGCCAGAGATCGGGTGGTCGACTACGGACGTCCACTCCCTAGGATGAGGAGGAGGAGGAGGAGGAGGAGGAGGAGAGGAGGAGGAGGAGGAGGAGGAGGAGGAGGAGGAGGAGGAGGAGGAGGAGGAGGAGGAGGAGGAGGAGGAGGAGGAGGAGGAGGAGGAGGAGGAGGAGGAGGAGGGAGGAGGAAGAGGAGGAAGGGGAGGAGGTGGGGGGGAGGAGGAGGAGGAGGAGGAGGAGGAGGAGGAGGAGGAGGAGAGAGGAGGAGAAGGGGGAGGAGGAGGAGGAGGTGGGGGGGGAGGAGGAGGAGGAATGAATGAATGAATGGCTCGTGGAGTCCTGCCGTCACCCCTATCATACTGCTACAGCACGCTGCGTCAGACTTACATACAGGGATAGAGGACCCTGAGTCGGGTAGCTTCTGCACCCCCCAGACATCGCAACACAGCCAGCGCGCTCCGCTTAAAAGCGGCACTGGCCGTCCTGCACTCCCCAAAATGGGCACGCAGCCCCAGGGAGGCAGGCTCCAAAGGCACGGGGGCCCTCACCCAAACCCACCCCCCGACCTCCGACCCTTCCCCCTGCCTTTGGAGCCTTTCTTGGCTCTAGGGGCATATTTTATCGGAGTGATAGGAAGAGGACCTGGGAGAGGCGCTGCGGCATAGGTGCTCAGAGCGGGCCGATTAAGTACCGCTGGCTCCACACTACCACGGGCCACGAGCTCACGAAACTGTTCGCTCCCAGAAAAGGCCTCCCTGGTCCTAGAAGAGGAAACAAAACAGGAACGCATGGCCCCCTGTGGGGCCTGCTGACTGGTTACACCCTGGAGAGGCTCGGTGGGAAATGGAGGGACAACTGGCAACTCCAGCTGGCCGTCCGCCTCCGTAGGATCATCAACGATTTCCAATTCGATGTATGTGTCGAAGCTACTGGGGCTGCCTACTGCTTCTCCCTCGGTCCGACCTCCTCCGCTAGCTTCCGCTCCAAGGGCCCGCGTGGGGCCGCGCCTGCTAGGTAGACCCCGCCCTCGAACTCCATCAGCGCCTCGAGTTGGCGGGAGAGAGCGAGCCCGATGTTGAGGTCGCGGTGGAAGTGGCGGGAGATGATGGCCTTGGGCTTCTCGCCGTCCGTCGCCTTGAGCACCTGCGCCCTGACGTACGGGACCACCCTGCCAAGCTTCTGCGCCGTGGTGCCCTTGGCGAAGATCTCGTTGGTGTAAACTCCTTCATCTCGTCGCGCAGCTTCACGTGGTCTGGTGGAACGCCCTCTGCGAACTGCTTGCTGCGCCCGTGCAAAATGCATGCCATTGCCACGTGCACGTACGGGGGCCCTCGACGTTTGTGGTCGACGGAGCGGCCTTCCTTCTCGAGCTTCTTCATCTCGGCGCTGTGATTGTTGTGCTTCGCCCCCGCTGCTTTGCCTGCTGCCGCCATGCCCGCCGACGCGTCGGGCATCTCGTACCTGAGGTACAGGGCGCTCTTGAGGTCCGCGACCTCGCGAGCCAAGGAGAGTGTCAACCTGTCGTTGGCCTTCGACACGCCTGCTCCCTTCTCTTTGTCGGCGTGCCTGCGTGACGGTTGGCTCCCCTCGCCTCCTTCGCCTGGACGCTTCGCGCCGGCAGTCTGGGCCGTCGGAGCACTGAGCCGCGAGAGAGGCTCCACGGGCAGCTGCGGCTGCGCGTTCTCGGACATCAGCAACGCATGGGAGCGGCCGAAAAGGTGCGCGCACAAGTGTTCACAGAAATCGTTGAAGCTCGAGCCGTCGAACTCGCAGACGGGGCGCTGGAAGGAGGTCACGGGGATCAGCTCTTTCAGAGCCGAGGGGCCCACAGTTTGACAATGCCCACGGAACATAGATCCCATCACATGTTTGGCTGCGTTTGCTTTGCATGAAGATATTTGCCTGCAATGAAGACATATGTTTGTTGGCGTAATGGCATAGCATACATTTCTGAGCCCATGCGTTCCCCTGAGATGATTCATGAGGTCCCTGCGGTTACTAAATGATGCCACACAAGCCTCAGCGGGGTTATCCTCAGAGGGGAGACAGCATTTCCAAGGTGGAGGGGCAGGAGGAGTCTCTTCTTCCAGGTCACGGGGCACATGTGGCACCGATGCAAAGTCTGAGGGCGCGATCTCCACGGTGTGCTGTCTCGATCTGTACGCGGAGACATCCACGCCTGCGAAGAACGAGGCAGTCGCCTCGTCGAGCAGCAGCCTGAAGTCCTGAGCGACTTCATCAAAAACCTCCTGGTCCAGCTCCTGAGCCATGCTCTGAAGATCAGCGCGCAGCTGGAAGGCCCAGGGACACGCAGACGGACTTAAACCTCCCGAGTCATCGAGAGGCTCCATTTGTTCATTAGGAAGTTCCCCGAACAGTGCACATAGAACCTGAAGGTGGTGAAGAGGCCGTCGGGCCCAACTCTGAACTAAACGAACTCGCCGAATACGTAACTCCAGGGGCGGATTCGAAAGCCTCCAAAAGCACAAAAGCTCTTCATTGGTCATCGTGTGCGGGTGACTTCCTGGCCAGTCGGCGGCCTTTCCAGCCATCGCGATACGACAGAATCGAGCAAGAGCGGCCTCCAGCCGAGAGTAATCGGACGCGGTCAGCACGAATGCCTCGAGGCCGCTCAGGAGAGAGTTGTAGGCGAAGCCCTGAAGTAGTAAACGTTTAAACTTCCACGGCAGATCC